GCAATCGGCAGCGGCAGTTACAACAACAACTCATGGCCATTACACGTTTCCTCCGGGAAGAGGTCTTTAGCGCAGAAAAGTTTGGCGCCAACGTTAGTGTTCTGTATGGCGTGAGCGTATTTGCCAGTGCTGTATACTTTTTGGAGCACTACGGCGAGGTTCTGATCCAGTAAAAAAAAATTACAAACCGAATCCACAAAGCGAGGTTTCGAAATCGACGTTAGAGAGAAGAGATAGCACAGGCAATTGCTTTTTTATTTTATTTTTATTTAATTTTTTACTGTTGTTGACCGAAAAAATTGTTTATAAAAAAAATGTAGTCACATTTATCTCTTTTGGAGAGGTTTTCAAAGTCCAAGCGGCAAGATCCTCGAACAAAAGAATATAATAGAAAAAAATGAAGGCGCAGAACTCGGAGCTCTGACGTTGGTTTATATTGGAAGAAAAATAGGTTCAGAAAAGATGAGGAAAACCCCCCAAATAAGCGGGCAGCAAGCAGGAAAAGGGCCCCCCTTACAGAGAAAATTTACTGGTTCTTGCACTGAGGAGGCTCGGCGGCCTCCTTGACGGACCGGCTGAGACCATCGTCCTCGTCATCGTCCTCATCGCTGTCCTCCTCATCATCATCCTCCTCATAATCATCATAGTCGTCCATGAACTCATCATCATACTGCTCCATACCCTCGTACTCCAGGGCCTTGCCGGTGAACCAGTCGACGGCATTGGGGATGATCTTGTCCTTGAACTCCTCAGCGAGCTCATAGTCAACCTCGATGCTATCACGGACCTCCTCAGCACCCTCTGACTCATCATCGGACTCGGGCTCCGCCACAGTGGTGAAGAACGAGAAGAAAGTCTTGCTCGGCACAGTCTTCTTGACAACACGGGTGCGGTTGGTGGTCTTGTGGCGCTGCTTCTTGGTCTCGATGGTGACGCTGAGGTCGTTCTCAGGCTTCCAGTTAATCTCAGTGCCCTCGGCGCCCTTGAACTCAAGGATGCCCGAGACCTCCGACTGCTCGTAGTAGTAGGTCTTGACGAGCACAGAGTTGGAGAAGAACGGGTTCTCGGCAAACTCAAAAAGCAGCTTAAATCCGGGCTCCGCGGTCAGGTACTCCAGGCTGATGTTGCGCAGGAACTTGACGGCCTCCTGGTCGCGCTCGGTGATGAGCTCGGCGACCTGCGGGTGGTTGTTCAGGGCAGTGAGCCAGAACTCGGGGATGCCCGCGGCAGCCTCCTCCTCCTCGTCATCGTCGTCCTCCTTGATGCCCGACTCGTGGTCCTCGTTCTCGTCATCGGCGATCTTCGCGCCCTCAACCTTCTCCTCCTCAGTGGGCTCGGCCTGGCCGGCGACAATGGCGGTACGGCGCTCATACAGGGGCGCGTACAGCTGGCTGAACTTCTTCTCTAGCTCGTAGATCTCAAGATGCATCTGCTTGTCGATGGCGACGTGCTTCTGCTGCAGGTAGCGCAGGCTGTCGACGCGCTCGCGCACAACCTTGGGCAGCGACTCGACGTAGCCCGAGGATGCGCCGACCAGGGAGCCGAGGCGGCCCTGGAGAATGTTCAGGAGAGCAGGGTTGTTCACGCGGGGGGCGCTGTCCTCGTCCTCGTCCTCGGAGTTACCGGCGGCGGCGGCGGCGGCGAGCGGGGCCGTGAAAATGGGGGTGTTCTGCGGAGTAGGCGCAGTGTCGACGTTCTTGTCGTCGCTCTTGATATCGAGGCCCTTATTGTCTGCCATTTTATGAGATGATTACGTTTTCAACCGCTACAGTTTGAAATGAACAAGCACAAGAGCAAGAAAAAACAAAAAGTTGGTTGGTTAGTTGGTTATTCAGTTGCCAGAACCCGACAAAAGAAATACATTTCATGGCAAGCTTGACGAGACAAGACAAATAAATATGAATTTAGTTTGCTCGTGTAGACTGTGTTACTGGTGTTTCTTTTGAAACGTACCTTTGCAAAGATTTCTAAAGATTTAGCTAACAAAAAACTGCGCGAACTAAAGAAAAATGAATAAAGAGACCAAAAGTGGATAGTAAAAAATGAAAGAGAAAGAAAGGGGAAAAAAGGTTGAACGAGTACGAACTGATTTTTTTTGGCTCAGCACACAAACAACAACATCGGGAGAAGGGGGGAGTGAAAAAAAAGTGACAGCAAATCGATTATTGGCGGCAATTTATCCAACCTGTTGATCGCCCAGAGGGTGAAAAGATGTTTTTTTTCTTCTGCCATGCCATATCCCGCCACCCAAATTGCTATACGCACCCGCCCACCTACTCGCACATATGCGCATGCCTATCACACCCCTGCTCCGGGTGGGACGTACTCGCAGTCTTTATATTTTTTTCTCGGTAAATGTCGCGACGTTTTTTGAATACTGTTCGGCATCAAAAAAAACAACAAACATAATTTTTACATTTCTTGTTTTTTTCTCATGTTTTATGAGCCGAACCGGCAAAATCAATAAAAAAATAAAAGGCGGACTAGAAAAAAACAGCCGTGCCACACCTCACAAAACTGCACTGTAACAAATCCACAACATTCAGGGTAACCTTTGGTATTGTGTTTACGCACTTAATTTCTTGCATTTGGCGAAGGGCGTTAACGCACTGTCTTTCAACGAAATTTAAGGGTAAGTGCGATCATTTGGCAGAGACTCAGCAGCACCAGCAGCAGCAGATTAAGGATGGTGAAAAAGTGCCATCAGGCAGACGGAAGTGGAATGGCGACATGGCTGCGGCGCTTAACTTTTGGATCATCCTCAACGCCCTGCTTACAGGCGAGCGGCCTCCCCGTTTCTTGTGCAAAAAGGCACTATTAGAGTTGGCTGAACCCGACCGGGCCTACAGCGATGCCCGAAACTTTGCCCAAGCCCAAGCTTCTCTTCGCAAGAGGCAGCGCAATGATTAATATCATAAACCATCGTGCTGTATTGCCTCTAGTTTCTAAACATCTGCCAGGTTGCTATGCAATCTGGATGTAAAGGAAAGGTGTCGATTCGCAGGATACTTGAATTTTTTTGATATTTATATACTCATTATTTTCTTCAATGTGCCACAAAGACAAAAAACAATATTGTCAAACGTTTGTGCCACGGGCAAAATATCACCCCGCTATTGATGATTATAATCATCACCAAGGATCAGATAAAATCCACACATAAAAATCTACTTGCTGATGAACTCGCGTTTTGGTGGCGGCGTCACGTCCCAGATGGGCTTATCTGACTTTGAGTTTTCAATGATCTGAGCCATGATCGCATCGTGCTGTTCTCTCCGCTTATCCTTGTTGCGCTCGTAGTCGGCGCGCACCTCGGCGCTCATGCTCCGGAGAATCTTTTCCTCGTCTGGAACGATCGTGCAGCGCAGGAGTACGGCGACGCCCATTATTCCGGCAAATGAAATCATACCACGGCGGAACGACATTGTTGCAGAATGGTTGTTTTTGGGCTGTAGAAATAAAGGCGAAAGGGAGAAGCTGTGTGTTTGTGCAAAAAAAGGAGGGAAAGTAGCTCAATCAATTTGCCAGTCAAAATATTAATACTGAATCCCGCCTTGCGTGTGTGCGCGCTTTCATCAAGCGGTTGCAATCATTTCGGTGCGTGGCGCAAAAGGTATGGTTTAGGCTATGGCGCTTTAAATTTTAAATTTTAAATTAATTTTTTGTAATCCACGCAATATTTATTAAAAAACAAATCATTTACTTGCGGTGCGTGGTGTCCACCTCAACGACCACCTGCAGATGCAAGCGCACGGGGTGGCCCATGGCCGCGACAATGTTGGCGTTGGCCTCGCGGCAAATGTCCTTGATGTTCTGGCCGCCGGCGCCAAGCAAGATCTTGGCCTCGCCGCCGGTCGACACAACAAGCTCCTGCTTGATGACCAGCACCCTCTGCGTCCGGGTCACCACGCGCACACTGGGCTCAGCATCCTCGGCAGCGCCCGCATTGCCGCGGCTATACGTGGTCTGCGTGAGCGGCGTGTCGACGTACTCCCAGGCGGCGTTCCTCTGGCGCACGACATAGGGGAGGTGCCCTGAGAGGCGCGCAAACCACTCGGCGCGGATGAGCTCCTCGGCGCGCATCAGATCGGACATATCGCAGCTGACGTGCGCCGGCACCACCCAGTCTCCAGGCCTCGTGCGCTCCAAAAGCATGGCCCTGAGCTCATCGACGTTGACATTGCCCAGCGCAGATATGAACAGTGGGCCGGCAACAATGTGCGGGTACTTATCCACGTACTCGCGCACCTTCTCCGTGAGTTTCTCCTGGTCCTCAACGGTGTCGATCTTGTTGACCACCAGGATCGCCGGCACCGTCGAGTTGCTCTTCAGCTGCGCAAACAGGTACTTCTCGACTTCGTCCGTCTTCTGCGTCAGCTTGTAGGCGTCCAGCAGCAGGATGACAAAGTCAGCCTCGCCCAGAGTCAGCCACGGCGACGTCACCACTGTGCGCGCCACGCGGCGCAGCGCCTGGCGACTGACAACGCCGGGGGTGTCGAGAAACACCAGCTGCTTGCTGCCCACTGTGGAGCTCGCCATTATGCGTGTGCGCGTAGTCTGTGGGCGCGCGGATACGATCGAGACATTGGCGCCTGTCAGCCGGTTGACCAGCGTGGACTTGCCTGCGTTGGCGGCACCGAAAATGACAAACTTTGCGATTTGCGCGTCGGCCGGCTGTTCGATCGGCCCAAAGACCTTGGGCATGGCCATCATGGGGTCTGCCGGCCGGTAGGCACCATGCTCGCTTGTGCCTACTGTGTTGGGCTGCTCGCGCCGTCTCCTGTCGCCTGGTCTTTTATGCTGCTGCTTGCGCGTATCTGGGGTGCGTGGCCTGGTATCCTGCAGCTGGTCCATTACATTGTCCATGGCGCCGCCGGTGTTTGCCAAGGGCTTGTATCCGGGCCGCGCCGAGGCTAGCGCTTGTTGGATTTTGCCCAGAATCGCGCTGGTGACTGCGCTTGTCTGAATGGATCGGATTGTTGGCTGCGTTTCTGTCCGCTGGCAAAGCTGCTGCGCCTGCGAACAGAGCAAGTGGCGGGAATTGCATGCTCTGCTAATAACTGTGCGAGGAACCATTGCTATTTTTTCTCTCCGTTGGTTAGAGAGCTTTGCTGTGCGTATAAATTATTGCTGTGTGTGTGTGTATTTGTTGAGGACAAGTACAAGGACAAGATAAATAAAAATATGCAAATGGTAATCAAGATAGATAGAAAAATTAGGAGCACAACTGAAAAGCATTGGGCCCAATGGAAAAGAAGAATTTTTTTGAGCACTGCTTTTTTTTTCTTCATGCACTTAAGCAAAAGCTAAAATTATATATCGCTCGGCTCGCACATTTCCCCCTTTTTCTCTTTCATTTATTTTTTGTTTTCACTTGCACTTTTTCCATTTAATTTTTTGTTTTCCAATGTCTGAAAGAAGCAATTCCACACGCAACAGAAGACTCTCACTTGACTGGCTGCAGGAGCTAAGACCCGAACTACGAAATGTAGTGCGCGAGAGCATTGGTGAGATGCTATTAAGGGAAGCCCCACTACAAGAGGGCAGCGTAGCCTCAATGGGACTATTAGAATCGCTATTGCCTACATCTGACGATGGGCCTATCCACACGCGCTTATCGGAACGCGCCAACACGCAGGACCACTCCACCACCCGGGCACTGTCCGCCCACACTTCTAATACATCAGCATACCTATCAGCATTGGATACTAACAGAAGGGGGCTTCGCATGGATATGTACAGGGTGCTGTCAGAGATGGATGGGCGGCGGCAAAGCTTGTTGGAGACATCCAGGGTTGGGCGTAACTCTGTGGTGGCGCAGACTGGGTTTGACAGCGGTGAAGCAGACGCGAATGAGCTGGAGGTCAATAGCGCGACGGATGGCTGGACATTTGTCAATATGCGCAGCCGCGATGTCTACAACACGAATAACGGTGAGGGCCCATCCCCGCCACGCACACGTCGGAGACTCAACACAGAGCATGGGAGGCCCTTGCAGAACAATGTTCTGTCGTCTAGGAGAGCGGCATTGGCACCAGCAACGGTGGCGTTGGTGCGCCAAGAGGGAGACAGATACACGAACGATGATGCTGATGTTGAGGCTGATGTTGAGGCTGAGGCTGAGGCTGAGGCTGAGGCTGAGGCTGAGAGCGGGTATTCCGGATACGGCGACTTTTCCCCGCCCATCGCCCGCAACGCCATCGTGATGTTCAACGATGATGACGTTGACGACGTTGATGAGGATACCAATGATAGCTACGGCAGCGAAAACGAGTATGACGTGGATGATGAGGAGCAGGCGCTGTGGGACGGCATGGGCCCGGATGATTTTGCGGACATACCTGAGGGCGGCGAGGAGTTCGACGACTGGTTTGTCACCAACTTTAGGGGAAACCCGTTCCACGCACGCACTGCCAGATTCAACGAGATGACTGCCGCCAACAACAGATCAGTGGCGACGGATGTTTCTACGGCGGCGCGTGCCACTGCAGCCAGTGCGCGGCCAGCCAGGGGTGGGGCACAGGTTAGCGTGACTGTGCGCCAGCAGTGGGCTAAGGACCGCACATGGAAACCCTACGTTTACCACCCGGCGGCGGTCAACAGCAATAACAGCATCCGGGACACATACGTTGGCATCAAAATGCACACGCTGCGGGGCATGCAGGGCGAGCAGTCGCGACTCTACTCCGTGCACTCGGAGATCCGCCCTCTTTCTATGAAATGCAGCAACGCTGATGACACCGGCCATGGTACGCTGGACAATATATTCTTGTCCAACAGCACGGCGTTTGTCACCAGTCGCGCGACAAACGTCAATCTGGAGCTGTCCTTTGTGGAGGAAAACGGGCTCCCTAGGCACACGATTGTTGAGCGCATCATGATCCAGGCGTCATTGTCCAGGTTCCCGCCGTGCACTGAGCTTATGTTTTTTGCGTCCAGTCGCCGATGCACATTCTCGGAGCTCGAACAGTACAACAACTATACGTTTGCGCAGTACGAGCAGCTGGCCGCCCGCATTGAGAGCCAGAACAGCACTGCTTCTGCTTCTTCTGCTTCTGCTAGTGGTAGTGGAGATGCGATTCAGCGGAAGAATTTGATGTGCGATCCGCTGCCTATTGCCTACTTCTGGCTTGCCCACGAGGAAGGGTACAAGCAGCTCCAGGTATTGCCCCAGGGCGTGGCTTGCAAATACTTGTACATCAAGATGCTGCGTGGTGCCAGGGGCAGCAAGTCGATGACGCTCCAGACTGTGCGCATTTTTGGATGGAACGGACCGCGAGCCTTTTATGAAGCAGCGCTGTGCTAAAAACGACCACGAGATACATCTCACCCTTGTTTTTTAAATCGCACTTGAACATTTATATGGAAGTCGTACTCAAATAAACTTTACGATACTGTTTTTGGGTTATTGGATTTTTATTTATTCATTTACAAAAACTATTTAGAATTCCTCGTTTGCCAGCCAGCGGTTGATCATGTCGAGTGCATTGGCCGGCTGGTCGTAGGGAACCATATGGCCGGCACTGAACACGCGCAAAAACGTAAAATTCCCGTAGCTGCGCACCTCGCCAGCCGAGCCCCTTCCAACAGCCCACTCCTTGTCGCCCGCCTGATTAAACGCATCCTTTCCAGGCCACTCCAGCTCCATCGACCACGCCTTGTTTCCGTACCAGTTGCAGATAAAGTCAGCGTCGCCGGCGTAAACCAAAACACGAATTCCATCAGCCAATAGTGGCGGAATCTCCTGGTGGAACGGTTTCATTAAGTCACCGTTGAGCGAAAACCCCGTGTAGACCTTATCCGAGCAAGACACATACTTGCTGACCTCGACTCCCAGCTCCCTCTGCACTTCGGGCAGGTTCAGGTACGTGTCAATATCGTTCAATATCGGATAGCACAGGTCGTTGCCCTCGCAATCCCGCCGCACATCGTATGGGTTACGGCCGGACTTCATATACATGCCCTCGATCTTATTACCACAATACATCATAGCCGGCACGCAAGCCAGGGCGTTCCTCCACTTGTAGCAAGCCCGGGTCATCCGCGCGCACGTCGGATAAGCGTCATCCATAGCCTTACACTGCTCCTTACTGAGAACCGGCGCGTACGTCGAGTTGCACGCCATTTGGGAATAGTACTTGTACTGTACCAGCGGATCAACTATGCCGTTGCCAATGCCGATTGAGACAAGCGGAAGTATGCGGAGATCCTCAGAATCATCTACTCCTTGCAGTTGCGCCGCGTGTCTATTCTCTTTCACTCGGTCGTTGGACTCACGAATAGCCTTGGCTACTGCAGGCACATAATGACCGCCGTATGATTCGCCAAACACATGGAGCTCGCTCTTTGCGTACTGCGGGAACCCCTCGTAAAACAGCTGCAGAAGAGCATTAACGTCTTTTCCAGCAGCCAAAGAGGTAAACACATCTGAGCCATA